TGTCCGTGTATCAAGTGTAGAAATCATGAGATGCTGCCACCAGAAACAGTGAAAGCATACATACATCGATGGGGTTTTGATACAAGTTACACCACATGGATTCCCTATGGTGAAGTACGTGTTGCTGCTACAGTTGTTAGTGAACCTGTTGACAAGATCTTTGCAGTGTTAAATGATGTGGCTGGGATTAGTGATGATCATGAGACAATGGGTGAGACAAAAACAGTTATAGAAGATACTCATTATGATGAATTTAATTATCTCTTATCTGAGCTCCAAGTCGGATTGTATCTGGGTTGCGCTAAGTATTCATTGTTCAATTTCTTAGTGAAACTAATGCATCTAAAAGTGTTGTAGAAGTGGTCTAATGGGTGCATGGATGAAATGTTGAAGCTACTGAGAGATGCACTCCTTGAAGGGAACAAGTTACCTACATCGCATTACGAGGCGAAGAAGTTATTAAGTAAACTAGGTCTGAGCTACGAGACAATTCACGTGTGTAAGTATGACTGCGCTTTGTTTTGAAAGCAGAATGCTGCTTTCCAGTCTTGTCCAGTATGTAGTACAAGTCGTTCGAAGAGCAAAAAGGGAAAAAAGTTTTGTGGAAAGTACTCTGATATTTCCCTTTGAAGGATCAGTTGAAGCATCTATATGCTTCCCGTCACACTGCTAAGGAAATGACGTGGCACGTATGGGGGCGTCTGAGGGATGAAGACTTAATGCGTCATCTAGTTGATGGTACGGAGTGAAAAGAGTTTGATGAAAAACATCTACAATTTGCACATGAACTGAGAAATGTTCGATTAGGGTTATCTACTGATGGTTTCAACCCATTCAGGAATATGAGTTTATCATACAGTATGTGACATGTTATTGTGACTGCATATAATTTACCCCCGTGGCTATGTCTGAAGGACCCGTATAAGATGTTGACGTTATTGATTCCTGGTCACAATACTTTTGGGAAAGATATTGATGTGTTCTTAAGGCCCCTTATGGATGAGTTAAAAGAGTTGTGGGATGAAGGGGTTGTTGTTCATGATGATGCTACGAATACGTCATTTCGGATGCGGGCTGTGTTGTTGATGACAGTTAACGACTTTCCTATGCGTAGTAGTTTATCTGGTTGGAGTGGTCAAGGGTACTTCGCGTGTCCCAATAGCAGCGATTTAACCCCATCGAAGCGAATAACAAGTAAAATTTACTTTGTTGGGCATAGACAATGGCTTCCTATGAGTCATAGGATGAAGACTAACAAAAAGTTCAATGGTAAGGTTGATCGACGACCTCCCCCACCTTGAAAATCCGTTAAGCAAATATTGGCTCAATTAGAAAAGGTGGAATCTCGATTGCCAGGTAAACATGAAAAATTTAACGGTAAAAAGTGAAAGAGACATCCGACAGAGCTAAATTGGACGAAGATCCTTATAGGTTGCCATCACACTATGAGTCTAGTATGTTAGAACATAATTATAAATTTGTTAAATTAATTACATCAGTATTATATGATCACTAAATATATTTCATTCTATAGCACCCGATGCCGCACCTCGACGACTTCATGGAAGTCGAGGGAAGGCTAAAAGTCACGAAATCATAGCCATAGTGGCAGAGGAAGGAAAGATCACCCCCATGTCTGACGAACGTGGAGATACTTGGAAGGCAATTAGAAACTACGTCACCTGGTTCGATAGTGCCGTTGGAATCCATGTTTGGGATGTCTGTGAGCCTTTCCACGATGCCTGGAAGGTTGTGGACATCCAGCATAAGAGAGAGATTGAGCAGCGCCTGCTGGTATAAATTATTCAACGTCATTATTTTTTAATTTAATCTAAATTTCAAAATAATAAAATCATTTAATATGTTTATATTGTATTATAGGAATGGTTCAACCTCGATTATGACTGCGACGATGGTATACTTAGGTATGTGGTTGACAGGGAGGCTGCAAAATGTTATAAGGATTGAAAAAGTGACCTCCATGACTATTTCAAAGATCTTGGTGGTTCACAAAATGAGAGTGCAGTTAGGGCCCACCCTCTCAAAAACCTCAAGAATCCATATCATTGTGGTCGCTGCTGCGATAGATTCATGTCTGACAAGTTTCAGGTAATTGAATCTCTTTTATATGTTGTTTTATTATATATATATATATATAATAAAGGTTAATTTTACTAACACTGAATGTAATCATAAATAGAAAAAGTCAATGATCAATAAACTTAATCGTAGCAACCAAAAGTGCTTGAGTTTTCATAGTCGGCTGTCGTACTCCCAACCTCGCGAGAAGAAAGTAAGTATTTGTTAATAATTTATTCAATATAAATGTTAATTTGGTAATCTATTACACTATATTCATATACATTTAAACTATTATACAGTCTACCACAGGGACTTAACAGTCGATATATGTCATCAATAACTGGGGGGACATGCATTATCGTGGGGATACTTGGGTTAATCCCCAAGCTGATGAGCAGACTTTTGTAAGTATACTCGTAATGTTTAATTATATTTTTTTATTTAAATCGTATTATGTATTTAATTATTTTTCTTCTAATATTTGTAGCATCAGATAGAGAAAGAAAGAGAAACACAAATCCATACGTAGTATGCTACTTCTGGATTATCCACAGCAAGAACAGTTAACGCGGAGGATATTATGGAGCAGTTTCTGGGCACCCACAGAAGACACAAGACTGGAGTGGGTCGCACACTCCCACAAAAAGTTTATCAAGGAGATGTGCCATCATCAGGCTCATGCTCGGTAAGATCTTCTACGACATGTTCTGACCCACACGTAGAAGAATGCTTGCAATAGAATTACCAGCAAAACCTCTCGCTGTATGAGAACGTCAGAATGATGCAGGATTTCATCACTCAAATGCACCCCAACATGACTTTCCCAGCGATTACTCCTCATGTGTTGTAAGTTTGTCCAGGTCATCCGCCTCCGAATCCTTCTGATGATAATGACGATGATTCTAGTGATGCTGCTAATTTAGAATATTAGATTTTTATTAATGTAGCAATTTGTATTTCAGCACATTTCTACTATAATTACATTTTTATTTTATTTTATTAATTACTTTTTACAATAATAGTTTAATTTCTATTTTTAATTATTTGTTTCCTTTTATTTAATTTATTATTATTATTATAATATCATGAATTATATTTAATATTGGGTTTAAATATATAGTAATATAACAAAAAATAAATAAAAAATTAAAATATTTTTTATGACGGTAAATGTGGTCACAAAAAATATAAGACACGTCAGCTAAATCTGCATCTTTTGCGACGACTTAATTCAAAAAATGTCGTTGCAAAAACTCAATGCCATGTCATTTTAACGATGTAACCGATGAAATAATTGCAGCGACTCATTTGCAACGATTGTCGTCACAAATATAATTGTGACGACTGCTTGGCGTTATAAAAATTATTTTTGCGACGAATCAATTGCGGCGACAGGTTTGCGATGACAAGTGATTGCTAAAACTTCATTTACGACGACTTTACATTTGTTGCAATGACTTTTTGTCATCACTAATAGCCATGTTTCTTGTAATGATATTGTGAATATGTTACCTTACATAACTAATTCAAATGAGAGTTGTTTTTTATTATTATTATTTTTTCTGTTCTGCATTAATGGGAAATACTAGTATTTGTTAGTAAAAGCTGGAGATCCAAAGGAGCTAAAGTGAAGCTTCTGAGAATGCCGTGGCTAGTTGGAGGAAAAGTAAAGAAGCCATTTTCATTAATAGGGAAAAAGAAAAAAAAAAAAAAAAAAAAAAAAAAAAAGAAAGAAACATTGAGTTGTTTGGCACTTGAAAAAAATTGCATCTATTGGAATGGATACAATGCGACTCAGATATATATAGGAAATAACACACACTTGCACAATCCAAATTTACATTCAATTTCAGTTATTTTTTTCTTTTTACCAACCTGCTCGTATAAGTTTATTTATTAGTAAAGTTTAGATAAAAGTTGATATTTTCAACTGGTTTATAGAAGTCTTTTCTTTGATATTCTGAGTGAATTAACGTACCTCAAAAATTAGTATTTTTTTATTTTTTTTTTTTTACACTTCCGCCACATCAGGGTTGTACATCATAACAATTCTGAAGTCTAGATGTACTTTTTCACAAAATTAAAGTTCAAATACCAAGTTGTGGCATGATAAACAATTCGGTGACAATTAATGGGAAAGTCCTTTTTCTTATTTGATTTTATTAGTTTTTTATTTTATTATGAGATTCATTATTTTATTTTATTTTATTTTTATTTCTTAAAGGAAATTTAAGTTTTTTTTAGTAAAAAATTTTGCTTTTGACTAGAAAAGGTAAAAGATTTAGCATAATTTTAAATCTAAACATATAAATGTGCAACAATATTGAAATAACCGGTACAAGTTTTTGATACTTTTTAAAAATACATGGTATATAAATATATATAAAAAAAGTATATGACATTATATTTATTTTTTTTCTTTTTGGCTCTAAGGATATTTCAGTCTTTTATGGTCAAAATCAACGGTTGTCGAAGAAAAAAGACTTGGAATTTCAAACAAAATATATATATATATATATATTTAAAACTCCAAAAAAAAAAAAACCGATAACCTCAAAATGCATAACATAAAAATAAAAATAAAAAAAGGAAAGGAAGAAAATGGTCTTCCCTTCAAGGAGGGGAAAAAAATAACCTCCCCCAGCCAAAAAAAGAAAAAAAAGAAAAAAAAAACGTTTACCTCAAAAAATTCGTTTTAGTAAATAAATAAAAATAATTGTTTTAGATTAAAAAAAAAATAATCGTTTTTACCTAGTCTAACCAATCACCGCCCGAATAGGCAATAGCTAGTAACCCTCTAATATAATTGCTTGCTCTTCAAGTATTAAATATCTCTATTTCCACTCCCGTGCCCTCTATCTCCACATCACTTTCTTGTTTCCCTTTCTTTCTTCGTTTCGTTTTCTCACTCTCAAGACATGGCCAGCGATTCTCTGCAATTGCTCGGCGACATTCACTACAATGTTTGTCCGCTTGACGACCGCATCGAAAGAGGCGATTCGGCAGCGGATGAATCTTCCGCTTCTTCTTCTCAATGCATCAAGTTCTTGATCATTATCACCGCCAAATTTACTCGTCCCGTAATCGATTCAGAAGAAGAAGAAGAAGAAAGTCTATTTCCTTGCACAGAAGGCCGCTCCATCAGGTTTCGTCGCGAATTTTCTTCGCCGCTCAACGCGTTGACGAGAGACGCCGTAGCCAAGATGCTCTCCGACGTACACGTTCCGAGTCTCCAATCTATTGTCGGTGAGATTCTCGAGACCGGCCGTGTAATGGTGGATGACAGACCGCAACATGATCCGAGGTACTTTCTTCGTATGAATGTGGAAATCGATGCTTTTGTAGATGAATTGCCTGTCCCTTCTGAAGATGATGACGCGATGGAAATCGACGGTGATGATGATGGTGATGATGATGATTCTTTACCTAATTTTAATGGCGATGACGATTCCGTTGTTAGGTTTGTGCCGGCGAGTAAAAAATCGATTCAGGGTTTGCAGAAAGTGAGGATGGAGATTTCGGAGAAACCGGCGACTTGTCCGGTTTGTTTGGAAGATGTTTTGGTTGGTTCGGAAGTGACAAGATTGCCATGTTTCCACTCTTATCATGGAGAGTGCATTGTCAAGTGGTTGCAGAACAGCAAGTTTTGTCCGTTGTGCCGATTTGAAATGCCTAGTCTAATTTTATTGTCTAAGATATCATAATTCTAATTTGTGACAATACTTATTTTCTTGTTTAATGTAAATATTTTGTTTTGAACTTATAAAGTGTCAAATGTTGCATTCATTTAATTACTTTTGCTCTTTTTTTTTTCCTCGTTTGGGTTGATTAAAGTTTAGTTCTCATTAATTAGTTCTGAATATGTAGAAAATTTAACAAGAAAGAGATGGAGGATAAATAAGAAATAATAATGTACAAGGTACACTTTTGTCACTAATGGGTAGTGCAAGGGTTAGGATTCAGTAATAGTAGACTCTTAAAATTTTTTACTATAGACAAAAATTAATTAAAAAAACAAAGTTATATGCACTCTTGCTGCAAGAGTGATTTTATTTTATTTTTTTCTCGAGTTTAATTGAATATATTCACTAAATAGAATTGGAGTCGACTAGATCAAATAAAAATAATTGAGTTTCGAAATAATTGAGTTCTCTTCCATTTAAAAAAAAAATTTTTCTCCAAATTATCGATTTGCGTTTTTTAGTTTATCAATTACATTAATCATTATGATATCATATATGTTAACATGACTCCGTAATTATGTTTATCATTGGTCAGATTTTTTTTTTTGTTTTTAACCTTTCTCGTTGATATTTTTCTTTGTTTAACGGAAAGCACTTGAAATCCTCTGTTTCTATTGTTCCTATTACCACTGGACGAATTTATAACAACTAAGGAATTTATTTTTAGAAAAGAAAGAAATGGTTAATGATCAGAACGAAGTGAAATAAGATATTTTACCTAAATGGTACTTGAAACCACATCAACGATATTTAAACCTTTATTTCCGATCAAGAAAAGATAACACAAAGCAAAATTACAAGAAAATCAAGAAAAATATAATACAAAACAAAGTGAATCTTTGCCTTAAAAAAAAAACAAAAAAAAACAAAAAAAAAAACAAAGGTTAATCTTTCTAACAAGCTTAACTTCATATCTCTAACAAGGCATCTCAAACCGACACAAGGGACAGAATTTGCTCTTTCGAAACCACTTCTGAATGCAGTTTCCGTGATAAATATGTGAGCATGGCAGCCGAGTTGCTTCATAGCCAACCATAAAATCCTCGAAACAAACCAAACAAGTCGGTGTTCGCCCCAAATCTCCGCCGCCGATCATCTCTTTTGACGTCGCCATAAACCTAAGACGCAGTTCTCCAACAGTATACGGAGCTTGGCACGCTTCCTAATTCTCCAGGGGCGAAGGAAACTCATCAACAACAACAACATCAATACTCACACTCAAACTCATCATTACCTGACGTAATGCGAAATCACGACACAAAATTACTATATGGTTCTCAAGTTCGCTGTTAGGGGTAACGCACATGTCCAAGAGCATCCAAGCTACGTTAAGCCTCGCCTCGGCGCCGTTTGCCAACACCGCGAGCCACACCGTGAACGGGCGGAAAAAGGTGACAACATTGTCTGGTTGGCACCCGGAGAGAGTGAAGTTTGCAAAGATATCGACCTCGAATAAGCTGGTGGTTCGTCATAGTTTAAGGGCAATAGATTGCAGTACACGTAATCGATCACTTGATCAGAAGGGTAGATGATAGTTGCCATCTTTGAGAATATTTGGGAAGAAAAAACTGTTAGACTTTAATTATAAATATAATTTTGACCCGATATTCATTAATCCCAATAACTATCATGCCAAATTATTAAGAACAATATGTAGAAAGCGTACATAGCAATAATCATTACTTTTATAGAATTATTAGACGATTGGCGAACCAGTTAATGTCTTTTTCAATCAAATCACCAGAATCTATTAATCCTTAATGGGGAGCTCTCTTTTTAGATGAAAAAAAAAAGAAAACGGCCGAATGATTTGACGTATTGAAGACCATAATCTATAAGTCCTTATATATTTATTTAATAGACTCCCATGAACCTGATTGGATAAACATTGAGTATCCACTCATTTATCTCATATCATATTATAAGTTTAATTACCACTTTATTGGCCCGATTAATTAAATAACTTAATATAACTGTTATAATAATATGTGGCCCACACTATATATAAACGTGATTTTCATAACAAAAACGAGTTTCTTAGAAAAACAGGGAATTTGAGATTTATGTATTAGGTAAATTGGTCTATACTTTATAGAGAGAGAGAGGTTTTGTTTTTGGGAAATAATGTACGGAAAGTTGGCAAGTAAATCCATGCTATATTGTCCTGTATTTAGAGTCATTGTCAAATTCGGAGTTTATATACCTTCTATGAATCAACAAATTACTCGAATTGAAAAATTTATCCCTTTGTATTTTGTAGGTAAAAATTCACACCTTCGAATGAAAATACAATTTATATGAATTTTCTTTTAGTTTCTTAAAACATAAAACCTATTTGGTGTTTGGTTACATGTTTCTCTAATCTAACAGCTAAAAAAAAAAAAAAGTAATTCGTCAATTCATATTCAAAATTAGTTCTTGACACAAAAGATATGAATTTAGCATGAATTTCAAATTAAATACAACCATAGAAACACAAAAGATACATGACATTAGAATTCTTTGTATTTTTGTGACTTCTAAATACACAAGAAAATGAAAATTGTATCTTTTCATATCCCATTTTCCCATGCAACCCAATTTTAGCCGATGGAAAAATTATCTTTCTTTCAAAAAAATTTCAACTAAAAGCTGACAAACTTTTGTTTAATGACGCAAATCGCGAATTTTTTTTAATTCCTAACCATAGGAAGTAAATAATAAAAAATACATGTAAAGTTCATGAGGTGTCGAATTTTTGAAGAATAACCAACGGGACAGAAAAATAAGATAACAAATTTTCACTCATTAAAGAACACCATTAATACAGAATCACCAGACTGCAAATTTTGAATACAGACATACACTCCTTATCTATTTTTCTGAAGAATAAAATAGATTTAGACTAGTACTATGTGATGTTTCAGTTAATTAGAAAGCAGTTGATTTGCTCAGCTATGGAAAGATTTTTTATTGGTGTAAAATATGGTGGAAATAAATAGAATAAACAAAAAAAGACTTTATTTTTAACTAAACAAGTCAAATTTTGGATGCATATTTTCTTCAAGGTTTTTAAAAATAAAAAAGAAATTAACAATTTTTCTCAAGTTAAATTATTCTTTTAATTGGTGAGCTTAAAGTAAACGACCACTCATCCTCACATACAATTGGTGGTCTATTGTGTGGATATATGGATAGATAGATGGTAAGAATTAATTATATATGTGTTATGCATTAAAAATACTTTAATATTATTCATTAAACAAGAATATTATACAAACATGTACTTTGAGGTCGCTAAGAAAATTAAACAAAAAAAAAATGGAAGATATACAATACCGTAAAAGAATTCAGAATTCTCAGTTTAAACTACTAAATAAACGAATATTTCCAGGAGGAAAACTGAGTAAAGGATGCAAAATACGCATGAAGATTATGATAATACATTGAAAGCTTGAGCCCCACGAGCAACCTTGATGAAGACATCCTCCAATGTTGTGTCAGCTAAACCCCATGCGAAAACCGTGAATCGGCTCTTTGCAGTCTGAACAGATTGGAACACATCCGCGATTCTCACCTCGTGCTTCGGCAACTCGAACTTCTGGGTTCCAGACAAATGGTATATCTTGCTCGCGTTCGGGGAGAGCCGCCTCACAAGGGTCTCAACCTCTTGTTCATGAGTTGAAGATGTTGTCATTGTAAAGACATAGGATCCTCCATATCTTGCCTTCAGCTGCAACACATTGTTGAGAATTAATGTTATTGTTGAGAAAATAATTTGATAGGTAGTTTCCAGTCTGGAACTCTGTAAAGACAATCTAACATATTGTAAAAGCGAAATGTTGGCATCACTATTCCTGTCATTATCTGTCATTTACTGCATTCACTGTTTAACATGTGGACTTTATTATCTCATTTTATGTTTAAATAATATTATATCATGTTAGTTCAGTCCACGTATCAAACAGTGAATGCAGAAAGTGACACAGAGAGTGATAGAAAAAGTGATGCTAACCTTTCTCATTGTAAGTATTAGACTATGGCTTAATGCGGACATTCCTCAGCATGTGTGACCCTTTTGGCCACGCCCATTTGCAAGAGTATCTGCAGTTGGTCGCCCCTCCCCACACTATTTTTCAGCAAATAAAGAAGGGGGAAAAAGAAGAAGAAAACTAACCTCTTTTGGATTTCCTATGCACTGCAAGCCTCCATCCACAAAAATTCCTAATCGATCACATAGGACCTCTGCCTCTTCCATGGAATGTGCTGCAGACAATGAAAGCAGGTTTTTAAGTAGATTAAAAGCGTGAAAAAATTATGTTTATCTTGTGATGTACACGCTCTCTACTAAGAGTAAAGGGACTTTATTCATAATGCAGCAGATTGGATGTCCAATGAAGATGAAGTTGAACAACAATGGAAAGAGGGAGAGAGAGAGAGAGAGAGAGAGAGATTACTTGTAAGGATGATTGCGCGTTCTTTCTTTGCTTTCTTCATGACATTCCAGAGACTGTTTCTTGAAGCTGGATCAAGCCCAGTACTAGGCTCATCCATGTAAACAACCTACACAAGTTTTCCCAAGAATGTTATCAAGTCATATATTATTAAATGAAAAGAAGAAAGTGACATAAAGAAAGTAATAAAAGTGAAGAGACTAATAGAGAATGAGGCATACTTTGGGATCCCCTATGAGAGAAATCGCAACGCTAAGCCTCCTCTTCATGCCTCCACTATACTTCCCAGCTTGTTTGTCTGCAACTCCTCCATTGAATAGGTTGACACTCTTTAGAGATTCTTCCACTGCCTGCGACGACAAAATTGTTTCAAATAAAGAATAGATGCTTAAGTTTATTGCGGGAGAAAAAAAAAAGGAAAAAAGAAACAAACTCAGGATTCTTCACATTTCAGCTCTACCACAACCTCTAAGCTATACTCTTCCTTTTTTTCAGAACTAACAAAACATCATTAGGATTCTCTTAAATGCTTAGAATTGTTCAATGAAAATCGCAAAGTCAAATGATAACTCACTTGTGTTAAGGAGGAACCTTTGAGATTCTTAAGTCTGCCATAGAATAATAGATGTTCCCTTCCTGTAAGGGTTTCCCAAAGCAGGCTAGAGATTACCCAGCAAAGAAGGAAAGAATTTGCTATTAGTATTTAGAAAAAACGATGACAATGGAAAACAAAAGCTTTCTGACACAAAGGTAAGAGGAGTAGCTCACTCATGCTGTGGACATACGCCCATGCTGGTATATATTTCTTCCATATGAGTTTGTATATCCAGATCCTGAACATATGCTGTGCCAGAGCTTGGTTTTGTGAGACCGATCATCTGTCGACGACGGATATAATTTAACAGTTAGCAGATATAGAAGCCATGTGATAATTCTCTCTCTCTCTCTCGCTCTCTCTCTCTCGGAACTATAAGCAAGTCAAACTTTGACCCGCTATATCATTCACCAGTGTCCAAAGAGGATAGAGGACAAAATGTTAAAGTGAAGGAGGGAGAAAATCGAAAGGACCAACATGTTTAAACACAGATCTTGAAGAAGACTAGAAGGACGTTAGCAGTTATTGCCAAAGTGAACTAGCTAATATTAGAACTTCCTAATAGAAGAGAAAGCGCAAATATACACAACTGCCTGTTTATTCATGATACTATGATGGCGTATATTACTTGAAGAAAATCTTAGAGCACACTCACCATATTAATAAAAGAGGTCTTGCCTGCACCATTGGGGCCAAGCATACCAAAACACTCTCCGCGGGGCAAAGCAAGAGATAACCCTTTTACAGCAAGCTTGTCAGGATTCCCGTCCCGTCCCGGATACACCTTCCTGAGGTTGTCACAGACTATGGCATTTTGTTTATCTTGTTCAAGTATTATTTGTTCAACTTTCTCACGCTGAAAAAAGAAGTCAAAGTACAATTTTAACTTGACAATGATGGAATCTATGGCAATGTGGAACCATGCATGAAGCAAATATCCAGGAAGATTGGATAATCTTAGCAGAAAAAGTACTGATTTGACAATAATAAAAAGTTCAGCTCATTTAAATGATCTTGCAAGGTAAGCTCATTTAAATGATCTTGCAAGGTAAGATCATTTCCATGCTTTGTGGTTGCAGCATATAAGCTAGCATATCATTATATATACATGGTGATCAAGAACTATGCTGATAAAGTGAAATGGAAAGAAAGAAAAATGTTACCTCTTGGACTACATCAAGTTTGTCCATCTCAACAGTGACTTTAAGAGATCCCTGCTTTCGCAAACTAGGCACCTTGAAAGATGATCCCTTCTTCTTCCTGAGGCTTTGCAAGAAAAATAGAGGTCTCTTTCCTGATGATGCTATTTTGTCTACATAATATGCAACAAAAAGCACCAATAACCACTCTACAACCATTATGATGAAGACGTCTTTCATTCCATTTTCGCCGTCACTTAAATTTTTCCACCGCATACCATCCGTCCCCAAGTAATTTCCATTATAGGAATACTGCGCAAATTCATATAACCCTCTATACAGAGCGAAGCCAGGATATAGCTCCATAACAATAATCCAGGCTCCTACAATAGCAGCAAAAGGAAGGGGAAAAAAAAAATCCTAGTGAGAAGATATAAAACGGGAGGAAATGCAGTGCAAAGTGGCAATGAATTCAAGAGTATTTAATAGAATGTGATTCTATCATTCCTATCTTTCGTTTTTCACTCTCAATAGAAAAGTTGAATTATCTTTCTTTTCAGTCTCCTAGACTTGCATGTTTTTGAAGAATCATCACAGAACATGCCCATATGTCAAGTAGTTCAACGTTTTCTATTTAGTATTTATGTCAAATGGGGACCAACTGCGCTGCGCATAATTATGTGAGTTCAGCCTCTCCTACCACGACTTTAGCCATGCACCAATTGCAAACTCGGAGAGGAACTCATAGACCTCACGCAGTTCCCACATAATATAAAGAAAAAAAAAAAAAAAAAAACTAATTGACATGTTTTGTTCATTATATTAAGTTCAACTGTACAAAAGGCCCTTCATTCAAAATTTGAGCTTCGATCTGGATATCATTTATTCGATAAAGAAGTCAAAGTGAAGGATACTTATTTGCACAAATTCTTCCGCTTACTTGGAAATGATGTATCTTCAACAAAAAACTGAAAAAGGAAGCCTCCTAAGAGCCCAGTTCCAAAGACACATATGTATCCTACAACTGTGTCCACAAAGTAATAATGACAAGCATGTTAGTTAAATCTCCTTCAGAAATTAGTTGTTATCAGTTGACACAGTTAAATCAAATGGCTGGCATCAAACCTGTGGCAGTCTTCACATTAAAAAACATCGCTGCCGCTAGAAAAGCGAGTGAAATTTGCAAATTGATATAGATGAAGTAGAAAACAAATTGGATGCTGTAGTCATTCAGTGTGAAGAATTTCAACCCTGTAAGATGATCAGTCAACTTCAGCTAAAGCAACTAGAAGGAAACATCAAACTAAGATGTCTATTAAGTGGTTAAACAATTACCTACTACCGAGCCAAATATTACGAAACACAACATGTAGATCATAGAGACGACTAAAAAGTAAGCATATGAAATCAACCAATAAGGTCCATCACCAAGCCCGTGCATTTTCATCATGATTCTCAATCTCTGCTGTTTCTCATAAACCAATGATGTCAACACAACCTACGAGAACAAGAATCAGAAGGTTATGAAGAGAAAGAAAACAAAGATGACATGTAACACAACCATAAAGTATTAGAGTAATGTAAACTAAATTATGCCCCTTTTCTCTTTAGATTAATCCGTATCCTTCTTCTCAAAACAACTACAATAGCATCCAAAAAAGTCCTTTAAAACAAGGTTAACACTTTACACTTTATGTGCGTATTTCCATATAGATTGATCATTGATTTGAAGATTCAATTTAGAGGAATGAGTCAATGACCATGAAAAATGGAACACTTAAATTCAAATTGATTACTATGAGGAAATTCCCAAGGAAAACTGTTTAATGCATCACCCAAAAAAACAAAAAGACACATTTCATTTTAATCGTCCAAGCTATATTTCAGTTATGGGACATTCAAGTCTTGCATTTTCTTTCAGACAAATAACTAGAAATTACAAATGATGAACCCAAACTCAGCAAAAGGGGCACGCCGTTAACTTTATGTGATGGAAAAATTGACAACCGACATTGAGCTTAAATGCTTGGAACGAGTCCTATAAATATCTCATACTTACCGGAAATAGTTGTATGACGACCCATGTAAAGAACAGTGTACCAAGAAGAGAAGAGAAGTCAAGTTTGAGTGAGCTTTGAGCTTTGGGCATCTCTTTGACAAAATCAAACTGAATTTTCGTGCCAGGCCCTTTCAAGAATTGTAGGTAGGCATTGGATGCCTGTGAATATACCAATTAAAAGTATTAGAGTTAAAACAGTATGTAATTCAGTAGACATCAGGATAAGCATAGAGCATCTTTGTTAAATAGCATTTGAAGTTTTACCACAATAAGGGAAATAACATAAGAAAAAGGATATGATTATATAGATACATTAGCTATATTTTGTCAAATCATGAATACGCACATGCACACGCAAAACTTATGATCTAAGAACCATATCGACAAATTGCACAAGATGAAAATATTTGCAATTTCACACCAGGAGGAGGAGGAAAAACTAAAAATGTAAAGAAGCAAAAATGTTTACCAGATTCACAGAGCGTGGGACTCTTAGCAGAGCAATAGCCTGATTGCCCGTATCATTCTTAAATGTTGAATTGTACCATACGCTCACGTTGAAATTATTTGCATTTGTGTTCAAGAAGTCGTACGCTGTAAAAAATAAATAAACAACTCTCTCAGTAATGCAATTCACGAAATTGCTTTAGTAACATAAAGCATTATAATTATAAATTTCAAGTAGATTAACCTGCAAGTATCTCGTTGATCTTCCTCTCTGTATTTCCCTTTCTGTAACCTTTATACAGCTCATTGTTTACATCCGCAGAACTATTGCGCCACAAAGGCACACCTTCGACACATATAATCTCTGGTTTCATAGCAGTGATTGTCTTAGCATCAAACTATTAGAAAATACTAATCACATAGTATATTCAAGAGAATCATTTGGATATTGTATAAGTTTCACTCATGAAATGCAAATTAATAAGGAGCAAGTCCTATTTTAAATATTCTCCTAAGTCCATCATCAATAAACAAGATTCTTAAATATCAAACCAGAATTTCAACCAATGACATTGACCACATATGAATTCTAGATTGAACATTTCAAACAGAAGCTCCACTAGGGTGTCTCTCAATTTCTCTTGTTTAAATGCATTTGATTGTCTTTTGGTAAATTGGGCTAATAATTGGTCAAAACTTTCTTGTGTCTAAGTCCCATCATAATCAGAAAATATTTTCTCTTGTGTAATTAACTAATCATTAATGCGTTTACTGATAACGGAGCTGACTACAAGAATTGTATAATTGCTTCACTTTTTTCCTGTACATATCCTTTATACCTCTAACTATATCTATACGTATCAGCATGTGCTTATCATTTGAAATGCATGCCTATTTGAGAAATCATGCGTGGAAGGTTAAGGTTATCTTTACCTTGTTGCCTTTCAAAGGTCATTACTGGAACAGAAACAGAATATGTAGAGTTCTGTGTGCACTGACGTTGCAAGTTATAGAGGGGAAGGCCCGAGTAGAAAGCAGGATCAAGGAAATTGGTATACTCAGGCATAGAATGTGAGCCCTGAAACATTTAGACAGAAATTATTTTGCTAATAGTATTGCAGTTAAAGCAGAAAAGATTTTGTAAAAAAAATAAAAGGGCAAAAGATGATGAGAAATTTGACTCACAGAGACGTTGCGGGCGATTCCAACCAAGACATCAGAAGAATTAGCAGAACTTGTGAACATATTCTCAACCATAACTACCAGAACACATCATATGATTTTTCAAATTAATATTGATCACTGTAATTTGATAGGCGAAAAAATCTTCAGAAACCAAAACTAATATGCTAAAAAAGACATGAAAGGGAGAAAATCATACTATCTCCAAGAGTGTGATTATTCCCAGTGAAGAGAAGAGTAACAGGACATGAACCAGTCCTTCTGCACGACTCATTTGGCAAGTCCGCGAATGGCATAACATCGGATGCCACTGCACGATATACTTGAGCCGGGACTTGCAACAATGGAGGCCATTCTGGAGGGCTATCAATGGCACAATAGGACCCTTGATCCAAATCCGAGTACTCCAATCCACAAACTTTCTCCTCTCGACCATCTCCATTTTGATCGAAAGTTCTACAGCCACATTTATTCTTAGGCTTATCCAATTCATTGTTGACCAAGGCTTGGATGAGAACAAGCAGCAGACACAGGATAAATGGAAATGAAATTAACCGAATATTCGTCTTGATGTTTCTTTTCTGCAGAAAGAACACAAGACATCTTAATGACCAGTATTACCGCTGCAAAATGTTGCGGCCAAAAATCCTCTAAATAAGTGAAAATGATATATCTTATTCTGGATAATCTTGCCAATTAAATTATAATGTCACAAACAAACAGTCATATCTATCAGAAGACACTGAAATATTAGCTTGTATTCATATTAAGTCTTCAATTGCCTTCTAAATTCTTGAAAATTAAAGCCATAGATAAACCATAATTAATCGTCCAAAAGTTAATTTTTTTCTTCTTTATTTTATACACACACACATATATAGAGACATATATATACAGGAAATGCTAAATAAACTCTACCCACAAACCAGTTAGTTTAGATCGGGATATTAGAGAAGTTGACTAATGTAAAAGATATTTTTTTGTAATTGTGATTGTAATCCCACTTATTCAGGGAATTATTTATCAATTAGTTAAGCTATAATTTATTTTTTTCTGAGCCGTACTGCCACTTTATATCTTCAATAATATTTCAGATGAGAAAACAGATATTTTTCCCTTTCGTTGTTCAAACTAAACAGGTCAACAAAATTCATAAATATTAAGAGAAAAGATACAAGATAAATCAACATATCCTTCAAAATAAACCCAGAACCCATTACTGAATTAGAATCAATAAAAAAGGAAGAAACCTTTTTTTTTTTTTTTTTTAAAGAATATAAAGAGAAGCAAAGCAAAGTATCCCCTTGATCAACAAGTAAGAATCTTTCATATCCATGACCAGAAAAAAAAAAAAGAAAAAAAAAAAAAAAAAAAAAAAAAAAAAAAAAAAAACAAACCCATTAACGAAAAGGCTAATCCGATTACAAAACATATTCCATTTTCCTACTTTCTCTAGCTCTACTTGCAGAGCTATGGACAGAGATAGATAGATAGATAGATATTGAGAGAGAAATAGAGGACAGAGAGAGAGAGACCTGGTAGGTTAAATTCTTTCTAAGGAGAGCATCGGCTTGAGTCCAGAAGCTGGCAGGTCCATGAGAAGAATCCGCCATTGAAGCTGCAGCAGAGAAAAACAGAACAGAGAAAAAAGTAACCGTAGCGAGGTATTCTAATATAAGTTAAATGTCCGCGGCTTGTCGTTGTATCCAAAGGACGCTTTTGTCCCTACTGTTTGCCTTTATTAACGTAAATGACATCAGCGCGGCTTTTCGCAATACCAAAACTACCCTTTTTTGAATGACCGTTCTGCCCCTCACGCGTTCAACTTTAAAAACCAAAAAGACTTCTAGAAAAGAAAGTCCTGGTTCTTTGAACATATCTGCGCTCCGTGCGGTAATTTAATTGGCGGCTTAAGGTGGGAAATTAGAACCACTTGAGCCTCTTTAAATCCCCTTATTATCGGAAAGAAAAATGATTTTCAACCCCTTTATGAAAAAGAAAAACAATAAAACAATAAAAAGGGATAATATTCAACCCGCAAATTGAATCCCATCTTCCACAAATAGAGGAATCTATTTAATGGGATCCGCGTGCGTCTCTTTAAGTGGGGGTCACTATTTAATAGAATTTAGATTCTAATCGTGTCGAGTTAAACATAAATAGCTCTATAAACTGCTCAAGTTTTTTTCCTCAATTTAATTCCATAAATAAGTTTAATTCCATAAACCTCATAAAAACTTGTATTCTTTTTTTTGAAAAAAAAAAAAAAATATAGAATTAAAACATTTGTTTTCTTAAAAACAATTGGCCTAACTTTCTACGCCCTATCCATCTTTCAACTTGATCGTTAAATCATATTATATCCCAAATAAGTTCTTTAAAAGAGTTATAACAGAGAAATAATAGCTATTAATCTTTAATTGTTTAATTTTGTTCTATTAGTTTTTAATGTGCCAGATAAGTAATGGTTTTATAATTTTGATGAAGATGTGCTTCTAGATTTGATCCATTATTTAGCATCGAAATCTATGTTCCCATTAAAAGAAAATAATAATTAATAAATTTCATTTCTGACCTCTTCTTCACCAACTGTAGCAAGTTGACCAATGAAAACAGGTAAGTTTACAAAATCAGAAGCAAGCATAAGCAGTGAAGGTTATTCTAGTCTGAAAGTTCATTCAAACTCTTTAGACAAAAGTTTATTCCAATATAATATATTCTACTTCAAAAAAAAACAAAACACTTAAAAACCCCAAATATAATATCCAAAGGAAGCTTCTTTGTAAAACATCAAATAAAAAGCCTACAACGCTTTCTTTCAAGTCGTTTTAGAAGACAATTGGTGCAGTGGCTTTTTGTCATTACTTGCCTAATTTAATGTGATATTAAAAAGATATGGTGTAGGTTTTTTTTTTTTTATACCTCAACCACATAATGCTCTTAAAAAAAATAAACAAACTTAAAATATTTTAATATAATATCCAAATGAAGCCTCTTTTTAAGACATCAGATAAAACGCGCCTGAAACTTTTTGTATAGAGTTGATTTAGAGGATACTTTGTCATTATATGCATAGTTTAATGCACGTTAAAAAAACATGTGGTGTAGGTTTTTTTTAATACTTTTTCACAGGATGCTCCATAAAAAAAAATTAAAAGTTTAAGGCCCCGTTTATTTCGTCGATTTGAGTTTAGAATTTGAGTTTTGCTACAGTAAAAAGCTCTCAGAAACAGTCACGTCTAACTTTTTTGCTATAGTAAAAAGCTCTCACACAAAATTACATCTCAATTCAAATTATAAACTCGAATCAGCGAAGTGAACGGGCTCTAAATTACCACGAAAAAGAGGAATATGCCTTCTTGTGGTTGCAAAGAGAATTGGGTAGTGCGTAATGAGAAAGAAACCTTGAAATCTCAGTCCATTGTAAGCAACTTACATTTTGTCAAAGTTTTTAATCAAAATTAAGCACTAGAAATACAGTTGAAAGTGAAACGTTTGGCACTATCATTGTATGAATCGCTGTGCACCGAATCACTGAACACGCGTATTTCAGCACGGTAAGAGGATGAACACAAGGGAACTATCATTGTATGAATTGCTATGTTACCTAGTAGAAAGTTGTTTTAGTGGGATTGTTTTTTCAATGGAAAAATGGTCAGATTTGTAATGAGTGTCCGCATTAAACATTTACAGTGCACAATACAAAATTGTTTCCACTCATAAATTTGACTGTTAAAAAATCAATCTAACAACTATAACAGTTATTCTAACGGATAGAATAAAATAGCAATTCCTACCATAAAAGTTGTTAAAAAAATAAAAATAAAAGAAGTATAATACTTTCAAAGAAGGAATTCTATGCCTTATCACTAGACCAAATTAGTGGATCTCTTAGACTCTGTTTATTTTACCGATTTAAATTTAAAATTTAAAAACAATCACATTTATTTTTTTTACTATAATAAAAAAAATTTATATAAAATCACATCTCAATTTAAATTAAAAATTTAAATTAATAAAGAGTCCTTAATATATAATACGGCTAATGGGCTAACTCTCAAACTGGTCAAATATCATTTTTAAAATTTCATAAAAATAAAAAAAAAAAATCAATTTTCAATTCTGATACAATGCATATCTGAAAATAGTCAGACGTCTTATCAAAAAAAAAGAAAAAAGTCAGAAGTCCACATAGGAGAAAGAGACGGATACAGAGAGAGAGATGAAATGCCAAAAGGCCCTTGGTCCACATGTTCAGATCGTTAGAATAATCAAGAATTGACTTTTAAGTATAAAATACAATAATGTAAAGCCACAAATACCACTAAACTTGGACATATCAACTAATACAAGGATTTTCAGTCCTTTTTCTCTAACAGTACTTATTGTCTGAAATTGGCATGTTGATGCGTCATGATTCACCACTATCTGAAATCTAATTTTTTTTCCATGAACCACTTTATCTATTGCAAATATTTCCCTTAACCTACAACTTTCTTCGAGGTAAAAAAAACAAAACAAAAAACAAAAAAACAAAACCCAACTTTCCAATTTGATATTGCCTCAAATTCATTCAAATATAATGTCATTGTCATCTAGTACTGTTAACCAAAAGAGGTAAAATCAAGATAACTCACATGAAAAACTGTCTACCAGTCATAGGCTTCCAAGTGGCAGTCTTTGATATAAGACCTGAACGCACAAGCAGGAAATCCACTTGTCTCTTTTTCTTTTTTTCTTTTTTTTTACTATAATCATCAACAGATTTCCAAATCCAAGTTCTACTCTTGGCCAGCACTAGTCAGCTGTATGGCCAACTCATTAACAAGGCTAAAGATTTCATTCCACCTATGATGGGAAGTGTCCCCAACTAAGAATTTGTGCAACTCATTCCCTGCTGTTATACAACTATAAGCAACTTCCTTCTTCAGCTTCCTATCTTTCATCAATTTTCGTACCTCCGAGGCTTCTTCCCATTTTCCGATACTGGCATAAAGATTAGAAAGAAAGACATAATTTCCATAGTACTCAGGCTCTAACTCAAGTAGTTTCTTAAGACAACTCTCAGTAAGTTCTACATTCATGTGAGTTCTAGAAGCACTCAGCAAGGTACCCCATATAACAACATTGGAATCCACTTCCATTCTTGATATATACTCGTATGCATCCTTTAGTCTTCCTGATCTGCAGAAAAGATCTATAACACAAGCATGGTGTTCTATCTCCGGAGTAATCCCGTAGTCTGATTTCATGCTTTCGAAGAACTTAAGACCCAGTTCAATAAGGCCTGCATGTGTGCAGGCTGTCAATAGCCCTGAAAATGTGATGTTATCTGGTTTCAACCCCGTTTCTTTCATTTTCTCGTAAAGATGAATTGCTTCCTCTGCATAACCATTAACTGCTAACCCAGAAATCATCGAGTTCCAACTAACAATGTCCTTTACGCGCATCTCATCGAACACTTGGCGAGCTTTATCAATGTTACCAAACTTGGAATGCATATCTAACAATGCAGAGGCCACTTTTACATCTGAAGTGAAGCTGTGACTCTCTACATAGGCGCTAATACGCTCTCCAACTTCTACAAAGCCTGATTGAGCACAAGCGGATAGAGCACTGACAAGTGCTGCATTATCCGGTTTAATTTTTTCATTCATCATGCGTTCAAAGAGCTTTATGGCCTCAATTGATCTTCCATTTTGGGCATAACCAGCAAGCATTGCACTCCATGCGACAACATCTCTTCTATCCATTCTATCAAACTCTCTACGAGCACCATCAACAGCCCCGCATTTAACATACAGTTCTAAAATCGCAGTTGAAATTATCATATCCGATCGCAAACTACTATCGTCTATGTACTTCTTCTTAATTCCCAGCCCCATCTCGAGATCTCCCAGCTTAGCACAAATTGAGAGCAAGATCACCAGAGTGATCTTACTCGGACCAAAATTTTCAGCCTGCATTCTCTCGATAAGCCTCAAAGCCTCATGATAATCCTCATTTTGTGCATAACAAGAAATCATAGAATTCCACGAGACAACAGTTCTCTCAGGCATGTCATCAAAGAGTCGCCTAGCCGCTTTAGTATCGCCAGACCTAGAATACCCAGAAATCAAACAATTGTAACAACCTGGATCCTTAACCAAACTCCCATCAAGAATTTTCCTCGCGGAGACTAAATCATCATTTTTGACATAAAAGTCCATCAAAGCAGTCTGAACAAAAACAGTTGTATCGCACCCCCGACTTATTGCAACACTATGCATTTGTTTCCCAACATTGATAGCACGCAACGACAAACACGACTTGATAACGGGAGGAACTGTGGAAGAAAACACTCGAATACCGCTCTGGTACATTGAGCAGAACGTCTCCAAGGCCTCTTTATTCATTGATAGTTTGGAATAGGAACAAACAAGAGCGTTATAAATATGCATATCTGGTTGAGGAATTTTATCAAACAATCTGCGCGCATAATGTACGGCAGACGAGTCGAGGAGCTTTTTAACGAAAACCGGAGTAAGAGATGGGTGCTTAGTGATTACCAGGGCGTGAACTTGCTTCAACTGGTTTAGACGCAGAGAGGATTGAAGTAAGCTAGTTAGATAGCCCTCCATTTACGTGGGCATGAATATTTTCATAATCTTTCGGGTTTTTGTAACTTTTGGCGGTAAGGCAAACGTAGGGGACTAGCCTTTATAGAGGTTAGGGTTTGACTCTTTGTGACACGGCGAGTAAATGTCAAACTTCTTTTTTTTATTATTTTTTATGAAAGAGTGAATGTCGAACTTGGGTCTTAGAAAAATATACAAACAAACAAACTTATAACATAAGGGCAACTTTAATAGACCTAAGGACATGATCTTGGGTTTAATCTCGACTGAGCTCGGTAACGTGCTCGAATGTCAAAGGTGAAAATTCTGACAGTTTGACCAGAGCTCGACAGCTTAAATAAAAATTTCGAGTTAGGCTAGTCATAAATAAAATATGGACGGTCAAACCCGTAATTTTATAAGGTATTATTGTTTTTAAAAGATGGCGTTTAGGTCAGACCGGATTTTTAGGCTCGAAGTCTTAGCCTGGTCGAGCCCAGACTAACAGGGTGGGCTCTGGTCGGCTAATTTGACCCGACTCAAACTTGTAGCTTTAGTCGGGTGTTTTCTTGCCCTCCTATTCTGTAAAGGCCTATTGGGGGCACGAGTGAGTTGTTCTATTACAAATGACTTTTATAAAAAACTTTGTTTATAAAATAACATTTTAATGTGAGTTTCTCTAGTAGGATAAAAAAATAAAATATCGGTAGTTCACAACTTTTCAGTTGTTAGATTTGTATAAAAAATTATTTATTTTACATATTTTTTTAATCTAATGTAATTTTAATTAGATCTAACAGTCAAAAATTAACAATAACAATACATAGACTTATCTAAGAAAGTCCCTTTAAAAATTTAATTTGTAAAAATGACATTGAAACGACCCAATTCAACTGGGTGGATCACTCAGTATAACAATGAAAATAATCAATTTGCTAATTTCATTTTTGTTAGGCAATCGTTTTAGCAAACTTACCAATGCCAATCTAGCTCAAGCCGAACATTATTTTATACATGACACCTATGAAATATTACACATATCATTACGAGCTGGCGCTATTGCAATGGCTTTATTTTGAACGATTAGATACTATTAGTTTTACACATTAATCATGAGGAATAATTTCATGGTAGCATGTTCTACTTGTACTAATGGACCGTCATTTTTGCTTAATTATTTCAAACGTAATCTATGTGTAATTAATTATCTTTGTTAGTGAGACTAATAATTTTTTTAATATAATGCAATAGATATTTATATATACAATTTTTTAAAATAAAATTATCTGAGTCCCCACTTGGTCTTTATTGGTTCGCTTCATGCGGCATAGTCCTAAAAACATAAATAAATTGATGTATGTAATCATACAAGTTATTTAATTCTCTATAAGATGTCCATGTTCTAACATCATAAACCATAATATTAAAGTAGTATATCTTGAAAAAAAAAAAGAAAAAAAAAAAGAAAAAAAAAAAGGTATGTATGGAACGTTTTACTACTCAAAAACAGTTGCTTCCCTGTATCGTTAAGAGAAATATATAAACAAAAGAGATCAAATCAAGATGAATGGGCTTGTTAGTTTGTTTAGTAATATTTTATTGCTTCTTTTAGCTTCGTCGCACTCATCACGCATGCGAGGGTGGCTATTTTTTTGCATAATTTTATGATTCGAAATTGGAATATTTTAAATGACATTTTTGTGAGAGAAAAAGAGTTGGTATTATCATTTTTATTTATGAATAATGCTAAGGACAACAACTAAAAAACTGTTAGGGATAACATCTCAAATTTTAATTTTTATGCACCAACTGATGTGGTATGAGAGTTGTCATTTTTACATCGACGTGTATTTAAAACATTATCACATCAATTTATGATAAGAGATTGAATCTACTAATAAAAAAAATGACAATTCACATGTCACATCAGCTGTTGAGATTTAAATTAGTGTCCATAACATTATTTTTTATTTATATTGCTAAGGAAACCCATGTTTATAATTAAGATCTTTTTCGGTACGTTAACATACTAGTATGTTAAGTTTTATGTCCGTCAGATTTATATAAAATTACGTAAAAATTAAAATATATACAGATCTAATGATTAAAAAAAAAAAAAACATGACACACGGATACTCTAAACGTACCAAAAAATCTTCCTTCTACCATGAGGCATTTAGCATCTCCTTGTCAACGAAAATGTGCTAGCGAATTTTCTCATCACGTTATTATTTTTCCTTTTCAAAATCTCAAAATGTTGTACTCCACCACATTACCCCTTTTCACACACGTGGAAGGAAAAAAATAAGGATTTTTTTATGCGCTAATATACTAATAGATTAAATTTTTTAACAAATAAAAATTAAAAAATATATAAATTTAATTATTATAAAAATTTAATTTATTGATACACCGACATATTAAAAAATCTTTTAAAAAAGTACAGATCAGTCGTCATTTCTAGACCAGTTTTTCGAAAATAGTTGGAAAAGGCAGTAGGAATATTACGGGCATATAGTTTTCTTATAAGGCAAGTAATTGATTTATTCGTTTTTCATGTTTCTTTTATTGCTTTTTTAATTTATTTTTGACTCTTTTTTTGTCGTTCGTGGATTTATAATCTTTTGAGAGATCGGCAGACTTATTTTGATTTCTTAATAGTGCCGGTTGCACGTTTCTATTTTTTTATATATTAACTTGTCATTTTCTTGATAAAGTTTAGTTTATTTCTTTTTTGAATATTATGTTAGCCTTCATTTGACTAGCAATGCCCAGCATGGCTTTCGTTGGATTTGCAATATAGAATGACGAGTTTGCACTTTGATGTAGTACAACTAACTGACCAAAATGCCCTTCTCATACTTTTTTTTTTTTTTTTTGAACTCGGAACCTTCTCATACATTTGCCCTGTTCTTTCTTGACCAAAAGTTCCTCTCTCTCTCTCTCCTAATTCTAAAAAAAAAGTTCCTCTCTCCTTTTTATTTTTTCAAATCCTCCCTAAAAAAAATGGAAAAGAAATAGAAAACCTTCACTTAAGTCTATTTAAAAGGTTATTAAAAAAGGAAAGAAAATTGCTTGAAACTTGAAAGTGATTCTTCATCTATATTAAAGTTTCCTTTATTAATTTTTTTTTACATGTTTTGGTGAAATTAGAAATTCCATCATATATTACGGAGATGATAAATATTTTTGACAATTGTCTTGTTACATTATGAAAAAGTCAAGTCTTTTTTACACCCATTCCTTAGCCTAATAATACAATTTTTTTTTTCTTTTTGACCTTGTAAAGCAATAATCAAACTTTGCAAACTGCAAGGGGTAGCAAAACATTTCTTAGCTTCCAAAAAACAATAAAAAGCCAAAAAATCTGACTAATAAAGTCTAATTGTTTCTCCTTATTAAACTTCTTCTGTTTTAAACTTGAAGATGGGATTCAAAGTAACATTTTTTTTGACGGTAAAGTTAAGTATGAAATTAATGTTATTCTATTCCTACACTCATAATATGCATATTTTTTGGGGACGAATGAATTAGACAGTTTTTATAATATAAGATAAAATTATTAAATTTATTTTTAGAGTATATAAATATGAATTTTTACGTCTTATTTCTAATTAAGGAGTTTTTCTTGTACGACTAAAAAAATAAAACTATCGATAATTTTATTTTATTTAGTCATTTTCAGTCGTTAAATCTGTATTAAAAACTGTTTATTTTACATATTTTTTTAATTTTATTTGACTTTGATCAAATCTAACAGTTAGAAAAGTGATCCTATGAATAGAACGACATACCTTTTTAACGAATTTAATTATTTAACTAAAAGACATTAATTAAGATTAAGAAATACTCAGAATCATATAGCTATTTGTCTCATTTTTTTCTTTTATAATCAGGTACTCTATTATCTTGTACGTATCTCCATTCATAGAAAATTACGAAAATACGCGTTTAATCTTTAAAAAAAATAGAAAAAAAAAAAGCGCGTTGACCAGCAGCCAACAAGCAGTGGCCATATCGTAAATGAAACAAAACCACGCCCCATTTCAATTCGATCACCCTCACCATTGTCCCACCTCCACTCAAAGCTCAAAACCGCGCCTTTTTCAATAACATTCTCTTCTACTCTTTCAATCTCTCTCCCTTAATCAACACCAAAAAAAAAAAAAAAAAAAAAAAAAAATCCACCAAAAAAAAAAAAAAAAAAAAAAAAAAAAAACCAAAAACTGTTTGCGAAAACAAGAAGACCATGAATTTGCAGAGCGGTTTTCCGCTGCTGTTCCAACAGTACAAGGCGCTCTTCAAGAAGAATCTCATCCTCTCATGGCGGAACCGGCGGGCGACCATCATCCAGCTCTTCTCCTCCTTAATCTTCATCTTCCTCATCTACGCCATCCAGGAGGCGATCACATCTCGATTCTCTTCCACCACCAACTACAAGAGCATCACCAATCCCCGCCCTCTCGTCTCGCCGCCGATCCCGCGCTGCGAGGACAAGTACTACGTCAAGCTTCCTTGCTTCGACTTCGTCTGGAGCGGAAATGGAAGCTCGAGGGCTCGGAGCATTGTCGACGCCATTAGGGAGAATAATCCTGGAAGGCGGATTCCCTTGGATAAGGTGCGTTTTCCTGAAAAAGGTCAAAGAACTAATTACCTTTGCTGTGGTTTTTGTGTTTATGGAATAAAAAGTAAAATATAACAGATTCACTTATTGCGGATGTTAATTCTGCGTGATAATGAGAATTGTATGGTTTTCCTGTTTGTTTCCGGGAAAAAAGTCAAAAGAATCTTTTTTTTTGGTCCTGTAAGCTAATTATTTTCGCTGTGGTGCGTATGATGAGAATTCGTGGATTTTGTGTTTGTTTCCCAAGGAAAATGGAAGAGAAAGTAACCATAAGTCATGAGATTCGATGTTAATTCTAGGTGATAATGAGAATTTTGTGGTTTTCCTGTTTGTTTCCCGGGAAAAAAGTAAAAAAGAATCGTTTTTATTTTTGTCCTGTAAGCTAATTATTTTCGCTGTGGTGCGTATGATGAGAACTCGTGGTTTTTGTGTTTCTCTTCGGGGAAAATGGAAGAGAAAGTAAACATAAGTCATGAGATTCAGTTATTGTGGAAGTTAATTCTGCGGATAATGAGAAATTGTGGTTTTCCTCTATTTCCCGGGAAAAAGGTCAAAGGACTCCTTTCTTTTTGTCTTGTGATCTAATTATTTTGGCTGTGGTGCGTGGTGATGAGAATTTCTGGTTTTTGTGTTTGTTTCTCGGGAAAAATATTAGAAGAGGAAGTAAAACAAAGTCATGAGATTTATTGTGGACGTTATGATAAGATATGGGGGTTTTCCTGTTTGTTTCCCGTGAAAAATGTAAGTGGGAGAAAGCCGAACGAGAATCTTAACATCTATTTAGCTCGGTAATTTAAATTTTTTATTTAAATTAAGATATAATTTTATATACAAATTTTTTACTTTCATTATTTTTAAAATTTTTTATTATAATAAAATTTAAATTAATAAAATGAACAGAACATTATTAAGGGCACCTTAACTTTTTTTTTGTTTGTGTTTATCTCCGGTGAAATTAACAATAATCTCCCACTTTACCGGACCACGTGGCAGTGTCAGCTTTTTAGGGTCATTGTACGAACTTTGTTTGTCCGAAACCCAAAAATAAAGGAAACTTCTACGGCACTAAACTTTTTTTTTTTTTTAACTATTCAAAGGACTATAGTTTTAGTTGTCCTATTAATTTTTTAACGATTTGATTAATAAGTATTCACATAAAATTTTAAAGTGCTTGACATAAAACTGTTCTCAATAAAAGAAAAATTATTAAAAAATTAATTCAACGACCAAAAATAGCAGTTCCTAACCATAGTGAAAAAAGGCGATTTCTATAGTAAAAATTCTCAAGTAAAATAATTGTTTTTTTCTTTTTCTTTTTTTTCAATTTGATACGGTTACTTTTACGGATTTATTTTATCTAATAGTTCAAAATTGTATTTAACAACGGTTTATAACTGTATGATACTTCAACTTTGAGCCTATTGTTCTTATATGGTGCGTAAGATGGAACATCAAGGATCACAATTCACAAGGCCGCTTTCTTTGTGTCTATGTTTATGCAGGTCAAATCATTTAGAACAGCAGATGAAGTAGATGCTTTTCTGTTTGATAAGCCTATGTACTGTCCAGCAGCTTTGCATTTCACCGAAATAAATGACACTGTAATGAGCTATGGCATTCAGACGAATTCAACTTCACTGTCAAAGAGAGGAATTTATGAAGACCCCACATTCAAGTTCCAAATCCCGCTTCAGATTGCCGCAGAGCGCGAAATTGCTAGGTCTCTGCTTGGAGGTATTAGATTTGATATAATGTTTTATGATGTTTTTTGTACAAGTTATTTTGCAAATCTGTTTCTTTGTTTTCTGCTTAGAACGTCTTTAATGCATTGGGCTCTGATGTATTACCACTCTGATGACTCCATGTTCAGTTCCAAACTTTAGCTGGCTCGCCTCGCTTAAGGAATTTGCACACCCTGCTGTGGAAATCGTCAACGTAATGGACTCAATAGGACCCACCTTTTTCCTTGCAGCTGCTATGTTCGGATTTGTACTTCAAATGGGTTCTTTGATCGCGGAGAAAGAGCTAAAACTCCGTCAGGTGTTCATCTCCCGAAATCTTTTTTGAATATGTTATTGTCCATTAATTAGGAATTAAAACATACATTTATCATTGTTGTCCTTTGAAGAATGAATATAAAATGTATTTATTTTTTGACCTGCAGGCAATGTCTATGATGGGTCTCTATGATTCTGCATACTGGTTGTCGTGGCTCACGTGGGAGGGGATTCTTACACTTATCTCATCACTTTTTATTGTTCTCTTTGGCATGTTGTTCCAGTTTGACTTCTTCTTGAACAACAGTTTTGCTGTTGTATTTCTTGTGTTCTTTCTATTCCAACTCAACATGGTGAGACTATTTCCTGTGATTACTTTAGGTCATTGTTTATGCTTATTCTTGTTGTGTCCACTTTTAGCTAAGCCTTATTTTCATCTCTTACTTTGAATCTCAGCTTGGCTTTGCCTTCATGTGTTCTACCTTCATAAGCAAGTCATCTTCATCTACAACATTTGGTTTCTTTACATTTATTATTGGCTTTCTGACCCAGGTAAGATTCTTCGGTATCATTCTTCAATAAAAGAGGTTATAAATACTTTGTTGGTGAAATAAATAAATAAAAAAAATTCCATTTTGCCATTGCAGCTTGTTACAGCTTTTGGTTTTCCCTACAACAGTGGCATCTCTAAACTATATCAAGTTATTTGGTCGTTTTTCTCTCCTAATCTTTTGGCTGAAGCTCTAACTTTGCTTGCTGGTGCAACTTCCACGCCTCAAGATCCTGGGATTAGCTGGGATAGACGAGATAAGTGTGCACCAAATGATGATGAATGTGTGATAACAATTGTAAGTTTAAACCTTGATTCTCCAAATTTATAGTTTGAAATGTCCTAGTCAATATAGATTTTTTAGTAGTTTTTTATCTTTTATTTCATTCACTCATACATATTTGTATTTGAAAATTTCCCTTGACAGAATGATATTTATATCTGGCTGGTGGCTACATTTTTCCTCTGGTTTGTGTTGGCAGTCTACTTTGATAACATCTTCCCTAACGTATCTGGTGTAAGAAAATCGGCGTTCTACTTTTTAAATCCTGGATACTGGACTGGAAGAGGTGGAGGCAAAGTGTCAGGTAGACTTAGATTAAATAATGTTCTTACTCGAGTTTCCTTTTGATGGCTTGTACTTTGAACTCAATATCTTTTATGTTTTTCCTTCATAGAGGGGAGCATTTGTAGTTGCTTTGGCTCAGTCCCACCATTGGAGCATATCCCTCCAGATGATGAAGATGTCCTTGAAGAGGAGAATCTCGTAAAACAACAAACTAGGGAAGGTATTGATGATCCAAACATTGCAGTTCAGATACGCGGCCTAGTGAAAACATTTCCTGGTTCCACAAACATTGGTTGCTGCAAATGCAAGAAAACTTCACCTTTCCATGCTGTCAAGGTAAAAACCATGGCTCGTTTTCAGTTTTGGATAGGCTGGTGATAGTCTCGAATCTCCATTTTGTTGAACTTTATGGTGTCTTTCGGCAGAATCCGTTAGACTTTGTACTAGGTATTGTCATCCATCGACAGCAGCTGCGTGAAGAAATCTTTGTGTGTAGCCAAATAGATATTTTCATGTCAAAATAAATTTTCCCCCTTTTTTTTCTGCATTTGTTCATCATCTTTACGGGGGGCTGTAGTGAATTTTGCAAAAAGAAACAAATATATGCATAACAGAAGTGACATTATGTCTTGGATCTGATTATATTCTCATTTAACTTTCAGGGCTTATGGGTGAACTTTGAAAAGGATCAATTGTTTTGCCTACTTGGACCCAATGGAGCAGGGAAGACCACGACAATCAGTTGTTTGACTGGAATCACACCGGTGACTACTGGAGATGGTGATATGCTAATTGTTCATATTCGTCAATCAAATTATTGGTGACATAGTCTATAAGAATTTAATCGTGTTCTTCTTTTGCTTGTGCCGGCAATTATGAACTTCTATGATAACAGCATTGATATATGGGTGCTCCGCCCGAAGCTCCGTTGGCATGTCTAACATCCGAAAAATGATAGGTGTTTGTCCCCAGGTTATCTTCCTCTCCCTCCCCTAATGTCTGTTTTCTTTGGTTAGTAGGGTATCTAAACTACAGTAGTGTTGTCAAGTCGTGCAGCCACCCTTATATTGACAAGGATACAAGTATATATCTTATTTTTCACCATTTAACAATGTCGAGAAAACTTATACTAAACTGTCTCTGTGTTTGTGCTTATTGGATAGTTCGATATTCTTTGGGATGCACTTTCTGGGAAAGAGCACCTAGAACTCTTTTCTTGCATTAAGGGTCTACCCCCATCTTCAATAAAGTCGGTATGTAACTCAAATCTTAAAGGTTCTGCATTATTTATTTAGCCTTTAGTGATTCTTTCTCTTACATGTTAATGTCAGTTAATTTGGTACTCATACATGTTAAGATGTTTAAATATCTCAATATACTACCTTTGTTAATGAAAACTTACTCCTCTAGATTCGGGATTTTACTAAGTGCTTTTGCTAAAATACAGGTTGTTGAAAAGTCTCTTGCAGAGGTTAGACTCACTGAGTCTGCCAAAATGAGAGCTGGCAGTTACAGTGGGGGAATGAAACGTCGCCTCAGTGTTGCAATAGCCCTTATTGGTGATCCGAAACTAGTCATCTTAGATGAACCTGTATGCAGATTTGAACATTGTCCTCTAGTGTTCACTTTTTCCCTCTTCTATTTTTTATTTCTTTGCTAGAATTCAGTGTTTCCAGTTCTGATTTGTAATGTGACTTGTACTTGCTGTCCAGACTACTGGTATGGATCCAATAACAAGAAGGCATGTATGGGACATTATAGAGGATGCCAAGAGAGGGCGTGCCGTAATCCTAACAACACATTCAATGGAAGAAGCTGACATTTTAAGTGACCGCATAGGAATTATGGCAAAGGGTAGGCTTCGCTGCATTGGAACCTCAATCAGATTGAAATCACGTTTTGGAACTGGTTTTGTCGCTAATGTGAGCTTCGCTGGGTGCACCAATGGACAAACTCCAAGCAATGGGGATATAGTTGATACAACTCATCATGAGGATGTGAAGAAATTCTTTAAACAGGTATATCGAATTAATTTACGGTTCAAGATTTTTCGTCTACAAAATGAAATGTTGGTATTAATGAATGTAATTACAGCATTTGGATGTTGTACCAAAGGAGGAGAACAAATCCTTTTTGACTTTTGTCATTCCTCATGATAGAGAGGCTCGTTTGTCGGTAAGATGATACCCTCCAATGCTGTTCTTTCTCTATTTCTCGGAGCTTTTGCTTGCAGTTTTATTTTATTTTATTGATTTCTGATTCTTTAGATTTGTTATGTCGCAGAGCTTTTTTACTGAGCTCCAAGATAGAGAAAAGGAATTTGGTATAGCTGACGTTCAACTTGGTCTTACAACTCTTGAAGAAGTTTTCTTGAACATCGCAAGGCAGGCGGATCTAGAAAGTGCCGCCGCTGAGGGCAGGTTGGTTCCTCTCACTTTGACAACATCTGGAGTTTCGGTTGAGGTAAGTCCAATCCACTGCCTGTTCTTCTTGCTCATTAGCAAAGATGAATTTGAAGTCATTACTAACATACATATTTTCTGTCTTGTTATCATCTCTTTATTCCTTTGCATTCATCATGCAGATACCAGTAGGAGCTCAATTCGTGGCAATTCCGGGAACCGAAAGTGCAGAGAATCCTAGAGGGATTATGGTAGAAGTATACTGGGAACAGGATGAGATGGGGGGTCTTTGCATCTCCGGTCACTCGGAAGAAACTCCGGTACCTCCCAACATCGGACCGGTGGCAACTTCTGCACCCGCTCCACGCAGGAATCTCTTAGGCCGGGCAGGACTTGTTCCTGGAGTTGTGCTTGATCCCAATCAAATCATCAACAACAATTCTCAAAATTGATGCAATTACGTGCCTGCAAATTCATAGAGGTTCCAATTGTTGTATGCAGCTTGTTCATTTATTAGATACTAGTTTTGGAACACAACGATCATTTGCTTATTGTTTGAGACGTTGATAATTTTTTGTGTTGCGGTTATATTATAAATATATATTTTTTTATTATGTACATATATTTCTCTAGTTTGGCAGCCGACTATGCTTTATTTAGCCAATCTTGTTAGTTAGTTTTTTTTTTGGTTGTAATTTTATTAAAAGAAAAGGTAAACGTACACGAGAGAAGAAACACAGCAAAAAACAACAAAATCAATCCCTGAATGTCCTATCCTATCCAGTTCAACAACAAAATTAATTTTGTTAGTTAGTTACAGTTAAATTGTTTGCTTTTAAACCAGTTCAATATCCTATCCAGTCTCTACAAGATTAGAAAAAAAATCTCCTTACTAGTCGTAAAAAGAAAATTTAAGAGAAAATTTTTTTTTTATTAGTCGTGAAAGGAACATTTACACAATAAATTGCTATTGATTTCAAATAATTTTACACTGTTATTTACTTCAATTATTTACTATAAATATGCTATTTACTTCATTCTTCCTACTTAAAAATTAAAAAAAAATATATAGTTTTTTTTCTTTAGAAAAATCGACCAGTTCGGTTCTCCCCAGTCCAAAACCAAAACCAATTATTGTTCTAGCCTATACGTCAAAGATATCGTTTGATTTGAAAAGGATATACAAATTTCATCACTTGTGCATTTTGTGGACAAAACAAATTAATGGCAAAGACACTTAATTAGACCAATTGTTTTCTAAGAAACTACATTTTTATCACGAAAATTTTATGAAAATTACTTTAAGCATTCAAAATATATAGAGTACGTCCAGATTTTTTTATAATTCATGTTTTGTTTTAGGTTTTGTGTTTTTAAAACGTTTAAAATATCTTCAGAAACTATTAAAGGCTATTTTTGTCTTTGTACTCTATTTTTATGGTCTACAAAGTAAGGAAGGAATAAAATTAAAATAGTTTTTTAAATATTTGTAAACTGAGAAAGATTTAAAAATAGGATGTCTATTTATGAAATTAAGCTTTAACTGAATTAGCACGTAGCGAGTAGCGACCAAGTTACCAAGTATTAGAATTGACTACAAGCAAAAAAAAAAAAAAAAAGTATTAGAATTGACTTATTAAAGCAAGTTTTACTAAATTACTGCACAAAAGTGCTATATATAAAGTGCCTATTTTTGTTTTCGAACACCGTAGAATCCTTAAATAAAAATAAAGAAAATCCAATAAAAAGTGATGAAAAGTAGAGAGGGCAAGGAAAGGAAAATACAATAATTAACTTATAAGCTCCGATAGGGCTTGAAATACAGTAACATTATCACGCTTGTTCAAAACCATCTCCTGTACTTCAGAACATTAGTAATATAACAATTAATTAGGAAAGATGAAAATTTGAGAAGTTGTTATGCACCCACAAATTTATATCATGATCATAACCTTTGATCTTATTATCTTAATAGTGTCATAATACATGATTTTGTTATTAATTAAGGACGAATCATGTTATTCGGATTCGGCGAAGGTGGTGATTTCTCGAAATAATGATCATCTCGCGCACCCTTCTGCAGCAACCTCCTGAAAGAAAAGAAAGTTTATAATTATATTAAGCATAGGAAGAAAGTGAATGATCAATTATCTAAACAAAATTTAATTAGTACTATGATCTTCCTCTAACGTTTTATTTTATTGTGTATATATATTACATCCCGGGTAATGCCATCGCCAGCCACTGGATTCAAGAGAAGAACAAGGATTAGGATGCAACATAACCAAAAAGCAAACCCTAATGACTTCATGATCTCGAATATCTCTCCTCTATGAGTTGTGAGTTATAACATGAGTTTTACTCGTATTTATTCGTTTTTAAGTGCTTACAACATCTAACAAGAATATAAACAAATGTAAACTGATAATATATATATATATATATATATACATGTTACGATATAGCATGTATATATTTTATTATTTTTTTGTTAGTTAGAATTACTTAAATTAGTGCATTAATCAATTACGTTGTATTTATCTTTTCTTTTATTTATTGAAATTATTAGGCTTCTCTGGTATTTTGTATGGGTCAATTGGTTGTTAAGGGTATGTCCTATCTTCTAGGGATTATGGCATTATCTTAGGAAATGAAGATGGTGGAAAACGTGGAGAAGGAAGTGGACCCTAGTTTAAGGAATAATTAGTACTGATGTAGTGTTATCAAGTGATAATCTCTTTATTATTTAAACTTGATGAATTAATGAGAAAAGGGTGTGCAGACTATTTTTATATCAAACGTGAGTTTGTGTGGAGGTTTTGGTTCCCTCCAACGAATCAAACTATCTTGGGAGGCCCTGGTTCCTCGAATTACCAAAAATTTCTCTTTTAATTTTAAGTATTTGGTTGGGGTTCGTATCAATACATTTCATTTATGACTTGTTTAAGTCATGTTCAACGGCTATCACATCCCAATATTGACTTTTTATTTCCCACGGAATTGGCTCGAGGATAATAGATATTAGAAACTAGAGGCCAAGAAGCTTGTAAGAAAATATATGGAACGAGCGCAAGAACCAGAAGCGGTTTTGGGTCTCGTATTTTACACATGTGAAGGCATCGCATTCACACAATAATTAAATATGCGTTTTAGCGCTATAAAACAGTTGTAGGAAAAGATGGAAAAATAAAAGGGTGATTTATACAAAATTTTAATATCAAAGTTTTAAAAACTTCAGCAAAAATAATTTTGAAACATTACAAGAATAGTAAAATGTTAGGAAAAACACACATTTACACCCACGCAACAAAAAATAAACTGAAATAAATGAGCCAAGATATAAACCTCGTAAGAATGGAAAGGAAAGAAAGTTCCACATAAGAAATTGGTTTATTTTCCAGTGAAGCCTAGATCGCAAAGATTGTTTATGTGTAGACATATATCAGCAGATATGAGGTGGTATAAAGAGAAACATAGTAATGTAGAAGGTGTCCTAAAGCATCCAGCAGATGGTGAGGCTGGGAAGAGTTTCGATGAATTATTTTATTCAAACGGAATTATTAATTAAACTAATTCAACTTTGGCCTAATTTAAGACATATTTCACAAATGGAGCTATATCAATATCTTTACTCATGAAGTTTCATTCCGACCTATGTTAATAACTAGCTAACATAACAATCTTAACATAAATAAAGCGTCTAACTTTATTCTCTCGATTGCAAATATATATAATTTAGACTATCATCTCTAGATTATTCATGTCTTCTGCATATTCTTCACATTATGTGACAATTTAAAGATTTAGAACGAACAATGTTAGAGTTTCAATTTGCTTTACATATATCCAATTAATATGAACATAAAGAAGACAATATTACTTAATATATGAAATAAATAAATAATCATTTATTGATATCAAGATGTCTAAATAATATTGTTACATTTATTCCTCAATGACATAAACGCTAAGAGAGTTCAAATCCTCCGTGCTATATATATAATATATATACGGCTTTTTAGAATATATAATTCTTTTTTAGTCAATATGGATCATGGATTATACATAAAATCAAAAAATAGGAATAAAATATATGCTCGCATGTAAAGATTTGGCCATATTTGATTTTAAACAGGATGTTATTTTGATGCATTTGTAGTTCAGGCTTTTTTCTTACTTTTTGATCCATTCCTATTTCCTAGAAACAAATTTCTAGTTGTTGAAAATATACAGTCACTTACGTGTAGCGCCTCTTGTTAGATAGTTGAAACATTCGCTTATTCATTCACATTTCAAACAATGGAAATCGTCAAACATGGAAAGTTCAAAGTGTGTAGAATTGGTCATTGACTAAGAAAGGGTTTTCTCTTCTTCCAAGTAATTTCCGATGTAAATAAACCAGGGTCGCTCAATATTGTGTCTAAATTCTTATTTACACACACACACACACACACACATATAGCTTCAAGCACAAAAAAAAAAAAAAAAAAAGTTGAATTGGATACACGTATATAAATGCCTGTTTATCTCGTTGTACACAAGTTGAGACATCTAGCTCGGGAGCAAAATGAAGACATCATTAGGGTTTGTGGCATGGTTATGCTGCATCGCAATCCTTGTTTTTTTCTTCAAAGATCCCTCGCTTGACCATCGCTTTGGCCGGTATGTGTGTTAGATTTTTTGCTGAAAAATATAGGAACATGACAACTTAATTAAAAGTATTTTTTAGAGATGAAGATAGTACGTACATACGTTGGTTTACATAATTAGTTAGGTCATGAGTCAGTATTTAATTTCCATGACATGAAAAATGAACATGTTACTTGTTTCTTCTTTCTTTCAGGAAGCTGATGAGAGGTCGCGAAGATGATGATATTCCTGGGAAATCACTACCCGCGCCGATTGGAGGTGGAAAGATTCATCATTAAGGAACAAAGTAATGCAGCACGCAAGCCCCTGATCTGCTATAAATGAGTTAATCTCAGAAGATCATGTTTCGATCATAGGTTATCATCATGTAATCTCAACTACTTAGCCTAGAATTGCTGTGACATGTCATGTAGTAATGATAATACATTATTTTTCCCCACACAGTATATATATTTTAGGGATATAACGATTTTTAAGTTTTCCATTTCTTTCTTGCCATATTATACGGTGAACATATAGCTCTAGTGATAACCAGATCAGTTAAGTGTGTATATATATATATATATATATATATA